GGGGGACTGGGCTGCTCTGGGGACTGAGATCCAAAGTGGGCTTGGGAAGGAGCCAGAGGCCAGGATTAAGCCCAGCTTAGCCCTGGTTTTTTTGTTTGTTTGTTTGTTTGTTTTTAGCCTTGGGTTTATGGGCGCCTTGGGGCAAGTCCCTAGGTCACTGTCCAGGCTGGGCCCTCTGTCTTCCTGTCAGTGCAGTGGAGGGTCTCTCTGACGCCCGGGGAACAAACTAAGGTTCCCAGATGAGATTCCTGGATTGGGGCTCCTGGCATCACAATTGCCAACTTCGACTCTGGGAGTTTGACAGTTTGCTTCCAGGGGTCCATGGGAAAGATGTGTCACTGTTTGAGGTTCATGGCCATTGTTTTAATCACCATGACTACCACCACCATCATCCCGTTTCAGAGCTTTGGACTTTTTATAGTCTGCTCTCCTGGTGTGTCACTTGGGTACATTGTTTATCCCATTTCATAGGTGGAGAGCCTGAGGCCCAGAGGGTTCAGGGACTGGCTTATCCTGGCCCCGTTGTGTGATTCTAGTTGGCCCCTGCTCCTTTCTGGGCCTCAGCCTCCCCATCTGTGCAGTGGAGATTTGGGCTCGCTGAAGTTCCAGGGTCTGAGGCAATGAGGTCCAAGGGGTTCCTGGGTGGAGCTGTCTTCATCCTGGAGCTGCAGGCAGGATTTCCAGGGTAGGAAGTCCTCCTGGTGAGTGGGCACCTGTCTTTGGCTGTGCCTGGGAACCAGACCCTGGCCAGATGGTCGTAGAATCCTCTGAGGCTTCCCCTCCTGGCTCAGCAACTCTCTCTGCACCCCACCGCCCAGGGTGGTGGATGGGCAGAAACTTTCACCGTCATCCTCCCAGGCGGTGCTCTTACCTGCACCGGGCTTTCACATCCGCTCTGGTGCTCCCAGACGACACTGTGACCTCTGACACGTGTGTGCAGCACCCTGCAGCTGCCCCGACCTGTGGCTGGGCCACTTATTCCCAGATGTGAGGCCTGGCTGGTCCAGGGCTTAAAAGAATTCCCAGCTGCAGGCATAGCCTTTCAGCCTCTGGCAGCTGTGCAGTGGTGCATAAGTCGCTGCTCTCTGGGCTCATCTTCCTCATACATCAAATGGCCATTTGTGGTCTTTACAGTAAGACCTCTTAACCTATGTGCTGAGGTATTTAGCCCTGAAATTTTCCACCTCTGCGTGTGTGTGCGTGCGCGCGCGTGCGTAACTGTATAGTTCCCAGGGATGTGCGGCATCTTTCTCTTTCATTAGTTCTAGGTGCTGTAGCCTCTTCATAGACGAAACCCGGGCTCTGAGTAGTTCTAGGTCCAGCATTCCAAGTCCTTAACTGTGATGAGGGACCCAACCTAGCCCAGGCCTGACCGACTTTCCCGTGTGGCTATGACACTGAGACACCCCTGACTTTCCCTGAGCCCCAGTCTTCCTGTGAGATAGCTGCTTTTCACACTCCATCAAGGGCACCATTTTTCCCTTTGCAAATGAAATCTGCAGGAACCCAGCAAAAACTCCAAGGGTTCTGAGGGTTGTGTGTGAGGCCGGAAATGCTTCCTTTTTTGTATGTGGAACTTCTGAGGTTCCTCCAAACACAGTTTCAAAAGCACTGGGCAGATGATCCCTCAGTGAGGTTCCATGTGTCTGTGACATCTGTCCAGTCCAGGTGTGAGCAAATATTTTGAAGTTCTGGTTTTGTTCCTGTTTATTAGTTTCAGAAAGATCTAAACATTCAGAGCAAGTTCTAATTTGAATGACTCACTAAGGTTTTTTAAAACCCTTGGTTCAGGTAGAAGATATCCTTTGGCTGGGTCCAGGATTCTCCCACTTGGTGATTGCTCTGGCCTGGGGCTTGGTTTGATTCTGGCCCATGAAGGCGAAGGCTGTCTGGCTCCTCATTAGTTCACAGAGTGACTTACTCACAGAGGGACCATGACATTTCCCTTAGAGGGCCACTGGGAAGGTTGCATGAGAGGGGTTTAACCTGCCATGGCCGCCGGCATATGGTGGGAGCCACAGACAATGGTAACTCACCTCTCCCTCTTCTCCCGTAAATAAATGACCAACCATGTTTTGATGGAGCAGAAGTTTCCAGCAAGGAAATAAGGGTGGGAGCCCATATTCAGTTACGCCAAAGGGACTGTCAGGTTTCCATATGGCACTTCGGCTTTCACAGTGTAGAGTGTTTGGGTCACTGCTTGATTTTGTTTCAATCTCTGTGACATTGGCTTGTGCACAGTAGCCTCCACTTGTGAGCCTTCCTCATTTTCTCTTTATTTCACAGATGTTTGAGACAGAGGCAGATGAGAAGGAGATGCCCTTGGAGGAAAGGAAGGGGCCGGGTGCCGAGGACCCCTCACCCAGCAAGGACCCCTCTCGTGGCCAGGATCCTCCTCCAGGACAAGACCTTCCACCCAAAGAGGACTCCTCTTCCAGCCAGGAACCCTCTGCTGGCCCAGAATCACCATCCAGCAAAGACTCACCTTCCTGCAAAGAGTCCCCTCCGGGCCAGGAACCCTTGCCAAGCAAGGACTCCTCACCATGCCAGGAACACCCTACAGCCCCAGCCTTCTCTCCATGCCAGGACCTTCCTGCTGGGCAAGAACCCTCTCCCAGCCAAGACCCTCTAATCAGCAAAGACCTCCCTGACATCCAGGAACCCCCTGCCCAGGACCTTCTGCCCCGTCAAGACCTGCCTCCGAGCCAGGACCCCCTGGCAGCTGAGCCCCTTGCTAGGGAGACCGTGAGCTCTGGGGACCCACCAGCAGCCACAGGGCACTCGCCTGTGGCCTCCAGGCCAAACTTCGTGATCCCCGAGGTCCGGCTGGACAGCACCTACAGTCAGAAGGCAAGGGCGGAGGGGGGCAGCTCGGGCGACGAGGAAGATGCAGAAGAGGCTGAGGAGGGCGAGGAGGGAGAGGAGGACGAGGACGAGGACACAAGTGATGACAACTATGGAGAGCGTGGTGAGGCCAAGCGCAGCAGCATGATCGAGACGGGCCAGGGTGCGGAGGGAGGCCTCTCGCTGCGCGTGCAGAACTCGCTGCGGCGCCGGACGCACAGCGAGGGCAGCCTGCTGCAGGAGACCCGCGGGCCCTGCTTCGCCTCCGACACTACCTTGCACTGCTCAGATGGAGAGGGCACTGCGTCCACCTGGGCCATGCCTTTGCCCCGCACCCTCAAGAAGGAACTGGGCCGCAATGGTGGCTCAATGCACCACCTTTCCGTCTTCTTCACAGGACACAGGAAGGTAAGGGGGCCAAGGGTGGAGGGGGAGTGGGTACATGACAGGGTGGGGTGAAGGGAGCGTGCGTCCAGGAGCTGCAGGGAGTGAAGCCTTTGCTTTGTCCCACCTCTGTTCTTCTCTCAGCCTTCCAATGAGCCTTCCACCCATTTGACAGAGGATAAAACTGAGGGCCAGGGGCTTCCCTGGTGGCGCAGTGGTTGAGAGTCCGCCTGCCGATGCAGGGGACACGGGTTCGTGCCCCGGTCCGGGAAGGTCCCACATGCCTCGGAGCGGCTGGGCCCTGAGCCATGGCCGCTGAGCCTGCGCGTCCGGAGCCGGTGCTCCGCAACGGGAGAGGCCACAGCAGTGAGAGGCCCACATACCACAAAAATAAATAAATAAATAAAAACAAAAAACTGAGGGCCAGAGGGACCAAGAAGGCAGAACCTGGAGTTAAACCCAAGACTTTATGACTCCAGATATTCTTACAGCTCCGTTGTACTGGGGGAACCCACAGAAAGTAGAGCAGGTGTATTTGGATCTAAAAGATCCAGCATCATGACTGGAGAAATTGTTATAATTTACACTTGGTCCAGGCCTAGCCAGACTAGAAATCTGTCAGCCAACAAGCATGACAACACATATTTCCTCTGTGCTGGCATTATTCTAAGCGATTTACAGGAACTCATTAACTCTCACAACAGCCCTGTGAGGTAGATACTGTTGTGAGGAAACTGAGGCACTGGGAGATTATCTGGTTTGCACCGGGTCGCACGATTTATAACAGTCTGAATCAGAATTAGAATGTGGCTCCAGGGCTGGAGCTCTTAACCACTGTGCTCTTTGCCTCTTGCAAATATTTATAAATAGATGAATAAGTGTTTATTGATTTCCTGCGGTGTGCCAGGCCCTGTGCTCTGTGCCACAGCAGGGGCCACAGAAATGTGTGAGGCTGATCTCAGCCTGTGAGGAATGCTTTTTCTGTGTGGGCCCCGAAGGTGGCCTAACAGTGAAAAGATTGCAACATGGCCTTGAAGCCCGTTAGCCAGCTTGAGCCTGGGCTCTGTCCCTTACTAACTGTGTGGCCTTGGGTGAGTCACTCAGCTCTTCTGAGCCTTAGTGTCTTCTCTGAAAAGCAGAGGTTAATAGCACTCACATCGCATGGTGGTTGAGGGTGAACCCAAAGAGCCCAGTGCCTGATGACATTCGTGCAGTTGCCAGGCGAATGCTGTGGAGGTGCTCACAGCCAGTGTGGTGCAAGGTGTTGTTATGACAACTGTTGTGAGTCCAGGCAGGTGCAGATTCAGGGAGGAGAGACCCCAGGGCCTAGGGGCACGAGGGAAGGCTTCTGGCAAAAGATGCTCCTCAGTCTGGCCTTGAAGGTTGGGCAGGTTTAGAATAAACAAAGAGGATGAGGTAGGCATTCTGTGAAAGACCATGACCTGGACAAAACTGTCTGTAGAAGTCAGTTTAGCTAGAACAAGGGGTTTCTACAGTGCAGGGATGGTAGATGGGTGGCACTCATTCTGCAATTTCTGACTCCAAACCCATGGTAGACATGACTAATGGATTCCAGCACATTTCCCCACCAAGTTGGGACTTGGCCTCAGAAACCTTCTTAGCTTCTCAGCCACTAGCAATAAGGCCTCTGGGCACGTGGGAGGACACCTTCTGCTGAAAGGTGGCTGGGCTGGAAGGGCTGGTTGGGGCCCTCCAGAAAAGGGCCTTAAACTTTGTGTCCAGGAATTGGAACTAAATCCCAAAGGAATGGGGACTGGATCTGTTTCCTCATCTGTAAGCACTCTGATGTGCTCCAAAATCACCAGGGGAGTAGGTTATTTATTTATTTATTTTTTTAACTTCTTTATTGCAATATAATTGCTTTACAATGGTGTGTTAGTTTCTGCTTTATAACAAAGTGAATCAGCTATACATATACATATATCCCCATATCGCCTCCCTCTTGCATCTCCCTCGCACCCTCCCTATCCCACCCCTCTAGGTGGTCACAAAGCACCGAGCTGATCTCCCTGTGCTATGCGGCTGCTTCCCAATAGCTATCAGTTTCATATTTGGTAGTGTATATATGTCCATGCCACTCTCTCACTTTGTCCCAGCTTACCCTTCCTCCTCCCCGTGTCCTCAAGTCCATTCTCTAGTAGGTCTGTGTATTTATTCCCGTCCTGCGCCTAGGTTCTTCATGACCTTTTGTTTTGTTTTTTTTTTTTAGATTCCATATATATGTGTTAGCATACGGTATTTGTTTTTCTCTTTCTGTCTTACTTCACTCTGTATGAGACACTCTAGGTCCATCCACCTCACTACAAATAACTCAATTTCATTTCTTTTTATGGCTGAGTAATATTCCATTGTATATATGAGCAACATCTTCTTTACCCATTCATCTGTCGATGGACACTTAGGTTGCTTCCATGTCCTGGCTATTGTAAATAGAGCTGCAGTGAACATTGCAGTACATGACTCTTTTAGAATTATGGTTTTCTCAGGGTATATGCCCAGTAATGAGATTGCTGGGTGGTATGGTAGTTCTATTTTCAGTTTTATAAGGAACCTCCATACTGTTCTCCATAGTGGCTGTATCAGTTTACATTCCCACCAGCAGTACGAGAGGGTTCCCTTTTCTCCACACCCTTTCCAGCATTTATTGTTTGTAGATTTTTTGATGATGGCCATTCTGACTGGTGTGAGGTGATTCCTCATTTGGTTTCTCTTGTGTTTTTTTTTTTTTTTTTTTTTTTTGCGGTACGCGGGCCTCTCACTGCTGTGGCCTCTCCCGTGTGGAGCACAGGCTCCAGACGCGCAGGCTCAGCAGCCATGGCTCACGGGCCCAGCCGCTCCGCGGCATGTGTGATCTTCCCGGACCGGGGCACGAACCCGTGTCCCCTGCATCGGCAGGCGGACTCCCAACCACTGCACCACCAGGGAAGCCCTCATTGTGGTTTTGACTTGCATTTATCTAATGATTAGTGATGTTGAACGTTCTTTCATATGTTTGTTGGCAATCTGTATATCTTCTTTGGGGAATAGGTTATTAAATAGATTTCTAAGTCCCCCTACCCCAGAATCTGGAATCCGATTTTCTGGAATCAGAATTTCCAGGGGGCAGTGCCCAGACCTTGCTTTTTTTTTTTTTTTTTTTCCCCA